TTTGTTTATTTACTCTACAAAAAAGAAACCAACTAAACATTCTCCTATACATTATCTCGAACAAACTCATCCTTTGATTAATCCTTTCATTCGAGAAAAAAACATTTCAATCCATGCAATTTAAAAATGAATTCAAGACGAACATACCTAAGGAAGAATTTCAAGAATAATCAAACCAGCGATCTTTTCGCTAAATTTTTTCATCTAACCTCTAAAACTCGTTGTACGTATCCGTCTCATCATTGTATTTCATTTCCCTCCATTCTTTTATCCCCTACTACTCCTGACTCGTATCTTATTTTCAGTTATCCGGCGAATCTTTTCTTTCGTCCATTGAAATTTTCTTTAGTTTCGGTGAAACTCGATTTCGTCATGTCACGTGCAAACGTATTGATATGATGCGTACAGTGAAATTTCCGCTGGTGGAAATATTGTGCATATATTGTGAAATAACACATTGTTGAGTCCGTGTTGAAGCAAGGATGATAGGGATGTGAGAGTGAAATTTCCATTGATTAAAATTAATCAATTGATTAATTGGATTGAAATGAAAAACATGGTGCACATGGTATTGATTTAATTTTCTCATTCATTTTTTTAATTTTAAAACGCAATGGCAATTTTCGTTTGACCGTTCATTGGTGGAAAATTTAGAGAATATTTGAAATAAAAATATTGATTTTTAGAAATATAAGGTACGGAATATTAAGGAATTTAATTTTTTTTAAAGTTCCATTTCCTAAAATAAATTTTAAATCTTCGATTTTGTAGAAAATAATATAGAAGTTTTTACAAACAAAATTCAATGTTTCGTTGTTCCAATGCAATTTAATAGCTCTTCATGAACGAAACGTGGAAACAACAATATCGCTTTTAAAATCGATATCTGCTATACTTATAATTAGTATATTATTGAATCTGAACAAATATCAATCTCGTTACAATGAGATGATGAAAAATCGAGAAGTATTAATTTCATTCTAACAGTTTCAGAAAAAATCGATTAAACTTGATATCGATAAAAAGTAATTCCATTTCGTGCAATTTGAATCATCATAACTTTTTATGTAAATTTTTTGATTCAAAGGAAAAATTAATTTATTTTTTTACATTATTTAAATAAAAATAATGAAACATTCTATAACTGCAAAAGTATGAGAATGAAATATGGAGAATTGTTGGAAAATACATATTTTTTTGTGTTCCCTGTATTTAATAATTAATTCATTCAAATAAACTAATAGATAAATTATTCGTTATTGATCGTTTAATCATTCAACTGAATAAAAAGTTACTATTATTCAAATATAATTCTCGTCAGAATAAAGAAATGACAAACTGTTTAAAACGATTCATCGTCTCGTAAATCACGTTTCTTATTTTCTTTAAAATAGAAATGTGTCCAACTCTGGTTCATACACACAATATCATCCCCTGAAAGAATGCCGTGCCAAGTCCTCGAAAAATATGAAGGGAAATAATAAAAATTTAACAGCGGCGAGTCGAAACGCGAGTTTCCTCGCGAATAAAACGTTTCATCGGTATTTTCAAAACAATCGCTTTTCAATCTACACGCTTTCCAATGGAATCTAATTTTCAACCACTTATCCTTGATTTAAACGCAACCCCCTTCAAACAATATTTCCACTATATTACTTTCAAATTTCCTCCACTGTTTCTTCCCGAAAGCAAAATATTTGAAAAATTCCCGTTTCACGATTCTATCGATTATATTCAGATATACGTAGAAGGGAGAGGAGATGCATCTCATCCTAAGAAAACGTTTTAAGGAGATCTGATCTGATCTTGCATACCCACGCACGATTATTATCCTTCTATCTAATTCGTCCCAGAAGTTACAAAGTATCGAATTCAATATTCGATAAAGTAATTTAAATATTTTATTTTTCATTCTATCTCGAATAATATTATTTGAATAACACGATGTATTTTTGTTCCTGGAATTTTTATTCCTCTTGATCTTGATCTTTCGTTTAATTTCATTGTTTATTATTATTATTATTATTATTATTATTTCTTTTTTATTCAGATCTCTCCAATTCCCAATCCCCTATGTATGTAACAAAACGCACGTTTTCATCTTCGCTTAACGAGACATTAACGAAGTCAGCACAGTGGCAGCATTTTTCCATTTCCGTTCCTCAAAGTTACGCGTCCCATAAACGATTCGGTCTGAATGAAAAAAAAAAAAAAAAAAAAAAAAGGTTCCAATCTCCCTAATTTGAAAATAGTGCATTAGCACTGATAACGTGGGAACGATCCATATTCGGATATCCCCTTTTATACATATCATTTCGCCAAATATTCTCACTGATCTGTAAGAAGAATCCAATTTGGTAACTCGATTAGAAATTTTTCAGAACGAACTCGGCGGAAATTACGTTTCATAGAAATGAAATCGGATTATGAAAATAATCTTCTAATAAGTTCGCTCGAACGTGAATAAATTTCCCGAAATTCAACTTAATGTTTTTGATAAATTGAGCGGATTAAAAAGAAAACCATCAAAATCTTCGAAAACAATATTATTTTTTTTTTTTTCAAAGACTCTCTAAAGACTTGAAGAAAATTCCCTCGAATTAACAAAATTATCGAAAAATATACCAATAAATGCATTTCAAGAGTAGCGAAAACTCGTTCAAAATTCCAACAAAATTAACACTTTTCTCTCTCTCTCTCTCTCTCTCTCTCTCTCTCTCTCTCTCTCTCTCTCTCTCTCTCCCCCGAGAACAATTCCTATCCCCTTATCCGACATAAGGGGACAAAATAAGGAAATTGTATCCGTGCCGACTGGGAGTGGAAGTCGGCGGAAACGAGACGGGGGTGTAAGAAACGAAACTGTCTCCAACGTCGGTTGAAAAGTGTCGAATGCGAGGCGCAAAATGGATGTAACACGAACGAAGAAGGGAGCATCGTTCACATGTTCCACAAGCAGCGTTTCACGGGTGTCATCGAAGGAAAGTTAGCGCCAATCCCCTTCCAACCCCTTCCAACCCTCTCCCTCTCCTCTTATCTACTCGAAAACCCACGATTCCACGGATGTTCCAGTGATTTATACGTCCGCGCCAGACACGGTGTGTCTACATTCATTGTTCCATAGGTGTAGGTGGTGTTATGGGGTGTGCGTGTAGCGAGCAACAAGAAGGTGGAGAGAGAAAAAGGAGCACTGGGGAAGTCTCGTTTCACTTTATTTCGAATCGAATGAAACGAAACTCCTGCAGGAGGATTAATTAAAGGATACGGTATTTGGTGGAAATCTTTGAAGATTCGAGAAAAAGAAAAAGGAAACTCGAGTATTTCGTTATTTCGTTTGGAAATATATTTTCGAGGTAATTTTTAAAACTGGATGGATTTTTTTTTTTTTTTCTAGCATTCTTTCGTGCGGAGATTAGAAGGGGAAAAGTTTCGTTAACGAAGCGATCTATATTTGGCTCGAAGAAAGGTCAGGTTGTATTCCTCGATCGTTAATCACAAGGGTTTAAATACTTTCCTATTGGACGTTTTCGACGACCATATCGCATAATAATAAGATTATCGCATCACTCGTGCATGCAGGCCAGTCAAGTAACGATCTTTATTTTATCTAACGTCAACGCCCATTTATTTTATCTAACGAACGCTCTCGTTATATTTGTTATTTCTCTACTTTAATATCGTTGTTTCACTGTATCTCATTCGTGTTCTTGAATATATAGATGCGATCGACATCATGCACCGTGATGAAGTTATCGTAAATTGTCAACGAATCAAATTAATTGGACCGCCTCCAGTCACGTGTGTATTGTCACTATTGGTTGAATCGATCATATGTCCGTTGCGCGACGAACAATGCAAATGAGATATAATGAAATAGGGTAAATTGAATATCACGTTATGCGAGGGGTAAAAGTGGTTTCTCGAATTCGGCAAAATTTTGTTATTTTAAAAATTAATCTTTCCCTTCGAGAAAAAAAAAACGATGTTTAAAAACAAGCGGGAGAGAAGAAATTAAATTTGGAATCGAAAATTGAATTCGATGAAAAATAATTAATTGAAGAATTAATTGGCGTGATGAACTTTTGCAAGGTGGTTTTTGAAAATTTTTTTTCCCCTCCCCCTCGATATTCGATTATAACTTTTGATCGCGCGAATTCATTCGAAATACATCTCTCGTAAAATGGAGAGAAAAATGGATATGGAAGCGAGGTCAGTGTAACTACCTAGAAGCCTCCCACGAATACGGAAAACCTTGATGCATTTTCAACTTGAAGATCTACGCCTACAGCGACACAAGTGGTACCTGAAGAAGTGAATGTGTTTTCAAAGCCGTGTCTTTGTTTTAAACAAAGAAAGTTTTCCCAGAGGTCGAGAAGTGACGAAAGCAAAAAATGGGTTTCACTCTCTCCCTATTATGAAGAGCCAATTGTTTATGAGGTAATTAATTCTATCGTGAAATTTTAAACGAGAACGAAAGAAAATACATTTACATTTTGATTACTCATTTCACAGATCGCAAACTTGCACGGAGACAAATTTCTATCGAAATTTTTATTACGAATGAAAAAATATAAAAAAAGGAAGCTATAATTTTTTTGTAATCGAAAAAATTATGAATTTCGTTTTATCAATATCATTTTATAAAAGTTATTTTCATAAAAACCGCCGCGCAAATTCGGCTCTAATCGGAATCGCCGGAACGTGCCGAATATTACCGAATATTGCCGATCGAAGTTGCCGACATATGCCGAATATAACCGAACGAAAGTATTTTCGAAATGACATTTAATCGAATAAAAGAATGATCGTAGATTCGAACAAGCTAATTCGTTAAATATTATTTTCCTATTAAATTAATCCTTATTACTTTTATTTAGATAATAGTCTAATAATTTATTTAGATAATAGTCTTTAAACGATTAGAATTGGAAATTTATAAAATTACCATGATAAAAATAAAGAGTTTTAAGATGATTAAACTCGAAGGAAAAAAAGAAACTCACCTAAATGATGTCACCGGTACTGGCAGCTCTCGTAGTCTTCGTCAATGGTCCCAATTGTCTGTTTTGATCCGATCGAGGTCTGCAGTAAATAATTTTTCGAAAAGCTTTTCGAAAACTATCGCTGAGGAAGGCGTAAAGAATAGGATTGACACAGCTGTTCGTGTATGCCAAAATGTGGCTCGCTATTTGCACCATTATCGTCGCTGATGTCAATGGATACACGTCCAACGATTTCGTCACTAGTATTACCTTTGAAAGAAAGAAAGGAAAAAAAAAAAAAGAAATCGTTATTAGAATCGAAATTGAGAAAAAAAAAATTTTTTTCGGTAAAAATAAAACGGAGTAAAAAATTTGTTTTGTTTGATCGATAATCGATCATCCCATGCGGAAATAGGAATTAAGGACGAACCAGAAAAGAAAGCGTGCCGTCAATGGCTTATTCCATTAATGGCTATATCACCACTGAGAGTTTTAAAAAGATTGATGTAACAGTCTATCAACTTTTTGAATGAATTTTCAGTTCACTGATTTTATATCCGAATAAAAAACTTACATAAAAATACGCGCGTTAAATATTCGCTATATTTTATGAAAAATTAAAAAAAAAAAAAGAGAGAGAAAAATTCGAGATTCATTTTTTTAAAAATATTTTTCTTTCAATAATTTCGAGATTGAAATGGAATTCAATTATCGAAATGCTTGGATTTTAAATTTTAAAGATACTTGTTATTGTAAGGAGAAATCAATCCTTTTATTAAATTACAATTCTAAATTATTCTATAACCAAATACCTTCAAATAAAATAAAATTATCAAAAAAATCAAAATAAATAATTATTGCGTCAATTTCTTGCAAATATTAATACAACTAATCAATATTATATCGATATTGGCATTAAAATATGCGAATTTAATTCACAATTGATATTCGTCGTGATTTTAATACATAAAATGGATAAATAATTGAATCAACAAATAAACGTTAAGTAAATTTTCTATGAAACATCTCTATGGAATATTTCTCGCATAAAATGGTCGTATCATGATCGAATAAAATTTTTCGTCCCGCAACAGCACAGTCACAATTTTCTGTTACGTTTCGATACACAACCGACACATTTTCAAAGAAGAATATTTTGCACCAGAAATTCAATAAACGCATGCGTGTGTGTCCGATATATCTTCAACGAAGCGAGGGACACATCGTCCCCTCCCCCAATGTCCATGGAATGGAAGAAAAGCGAGAAAGGTAAAAATTCACAAAACACAAAAGAACCATCGACGTGCTATTCGGTCTTAAAAACTTCGATATACGAATGGCACAGCTTTGCAATTTTTTTTTTTTTTTTTGCATTGCTTTGCTATTTCCAATCTGCAATAATCCATGGTGAAACAGAAATAAGAAGAATAAAGAAAATAAAGAAAATTTGTTTTATTTTTTTTTTTATTTTTATTTTGTTTTATTTGTTTTATTTTTATATTCGAAAGGGTTGCGTGTATGAAATAAGACTAATATTAATTAATAAAATAGATTTGTTCCAACGATTAAACGGTATTACTATTTCATAAATTGAGAAGAATCAAGAAGCAAAAGTTATTCAAATTTCATTCAGAACAAATTGATTAATAAATTATCTAAAAGTAGAGCATACGTGTAACTTTCAACATGGTAGATTTATAATTCCAATAACTTTCTCTCAAAGTTTTAACTCACACGACAAATACTCCATGATTATTCCAATATTTTTGTTATAAATTTCGCTACGTTATCAAGTGCAAAATATCCTTGTACAAACCACGAGAATAATTCACGAACAAATTCTTCTAACTTAAAAATACAGCGGAATAGAAAAGAAACACTAAGAAAAAAATTTTAACAAATAAATATCTTATAAAATGATATAATTATTATGTAATGATGGCAATATTATTGCCAATTTAGAAAACATACGATTAATAATTTTAAAAAGATATATTTCGACTTTACCTATCTCGTAATGATAAATAAAATAATAACAGTAATAATAAAAAAATGAATCCATATCATCCATATCATCGATCGATAAACCTCATCTCGATATTCCCAATTATCCACACGAAATTGCCAAATTCCACCGCACAATTTCCTTTCGCGATTTATCTTCCATCTCCATTACCACGAATACCCACGTACCAGTTAATTACATTGCGTTTGTAAACGATCGTAAATTTTTTTCCCCATCGAGGGTCTCGCCCCGAAATGCCGTGCCAAAATATACATACCATTCAATTCTACTGGCCACCATTTACGACTGATATCATTCCGTGCGCAAAATCACGTTCCGACAAATTATAACAAATCACACCCCTTTCCTTTTTTTATCTTCATAAATGTAAATCTGATGTGTATAAAGTAGATAATAAAATAACAATTTTTGGGAATATATATATATATATATAATAAATTGAATCGAAGTAATTTACATACATATTTTTCTTAATTGAAAATTACAAAGTTTTTAATTTGAAAAATATAAATTAATTTGTTCGAGAGTAAAGTAAAGATTTTCTTCTCCTCTTTGCAATTGTTGGATTGATTATTTCGTTTCATTTGAAAGAAAGAAAATAATTGTGCATGGTAATTTATTCTCATCATAATGATATTTTAATCATAACGATAGGTATATTAGAAATTGTTGAATTTGAAAAATATTTTAACAAATTTCGTGATAAGAAAAAATTATTACAATCTTTCACGATGAATAATCACGATGATTCTTTTACGACTTGTAAACTTACAATTGGAAAAAGTATCACAAAAATTACTGAAAATAGATACATCAAAAATACATGCAAAAAAGAACACGAAATCATTTGTAAATTATCGACATAGACAAAATTTCAACAAAAATTTTATTCGTAAACGATTCAATCGAGAAAAGGATCACTTACTAAAAGAAAAATTCGTAGAATCATTTGTTCATTCTAATCAAACGTACGATATTTTATTCAAATTGATTATACAAATTGAATAAATTTTTCTGTAATACTACTACCAGAAAGGGAGAGAGAAAATATGAATGGAGAGCTGGTCGTGGGAAATGAAGTGACACTAACCTGTATAGGGCACCAACAAAAGGCGAAAACGCCAACGACGACGAAGACCAGCCTCGTGACTCGTTTTCTTCCACGACGGCTTTCGGCACTGACGCGATCGGTGCGCCAGAGCCTGATGAGCATGCAAATGTAAAAGAAGCATATCAGCATCAGTGGCAGCAGGTAGCTCATCAGGAAAAACGACATCTGGAATAACGGCCAATTATATTGCGGTAGGATTCGACAAGCCGTCAGGTTCTCCGACGACGAGCCATCCATGTCCTGAAACTAAAGTGAATCTACATATGTAAGAGAATAGTTCTTGGCCGCAATATCGTATTGAGAGAGAAAAAATATATACGAAATACACGCGAGGAAACACGAATTGTTTCAAGATGTACAAAAATTTTAATTTTTTTAAAATAGTTTTCGCGAGAAAGATATTACGAAATTTCGTCATCTCGTTGAATTTTCCATTCTGGAAACTGAAAACTCAATAGCCACTTCATCTATCAAGATCGAGAGATTGATATTTTGTTACAAATATGGGTATGTATTCAGTGTTTAATACTCAAAGAGTTAACGCATATATCAACTTCTTTTCCAGATCAATGAATATTAAACATGTATAAGCACAATAAAATTTGAACGAGCAATTACTGAAAATTAATCAAATTATTATTGAATAATAACATGGAAATTTAAACATCGCGAATTAAAGATGAAATATCGAAAATAACAGAAAGAAAAACCATGAATTCGTTTCATCGACGTTTATTATTATAATTAATCATTAAATCGACTGTTTCCTGTTTCTAAACACATAATCACACGCCACAATTACACGATAATTACAATGATTAATCGCAATCAAAGATAAAGTACACTTTTGACACAACATGACAGCTCGAATTTCACCACCACGATTCCATTATGCAAAATACCGCAATTACTATATACAACGACGCACAATTGCGCCACAATTTAACACGCAACAACAAATTTCTTCCTTGCCTCGAGCCTTCCCTCCTTCGATTCGATTCCAATTATTCCATACGACAACATTTTCGGATATTATGATTCGCAAATGGCACCTGTTATATACCTAAAATCGGGGTGTATAATCATCGAACGATCACAGAGGAATGGTTATTTCTCCCATTTCCGTTGGTGGAGTCGCGGAAAATCGTATAATGCATGACAATGAGCTCTCTCTACGTGTGTCTGGAATGATTCAACGAAATTTGCGCAAAACGTATCTGAGGATAATTCTCGTGTCCACGTATGTGTGTAGGTGTGTGTGCACGTCGATATCGTGTGAATCTGACGATATGGGATTATCGTGCGTGGTCGTGATTTAAAAATATATTTCCGGCAATTACATTTTGATAAGAGATTATCGTGTGTTCGAGTAACGGATAAATATGAATTGAATTATTGCCATTGAAATGTCTGGTGATTAATTGATTAAAATAAATACTGTACTGTAATGATAGAAATAATTAAGCGTATTTATTTCTTTGCGAAAATAATAAAATTTGTTTGCGAATGTAATCGGAGAAATCTTAGCTTCTAAAGGGATGTTCAGAGTTTTTTTTCTTTTTTTTTTTTTTGTCATGCACGTTCCACAGATTTTTCTCAAATGTCTAGTAATTATAATTAATACCAAGTTGATTATGTAATAGCTATGGATTTTTATGCAAGTGCTTTTGACAAAATTGATCCTTTGCGCTCTAAACAATTTGGATAATTAACTTCAAGATATTTTTTCCCATACACACATATAAATAATAAATTATATCGGCTCAATATTAATTTATATTCAAAAATAAAAATACAATTGTACAGATTGTAATTACTTTCATAACAACAATACTCGTCTCTGTACAATCATTGACAATTCTAACACAAAGTTTTAAAAAAGCATCATATCACGAAGATTTCCATATCAAAATAATACATTATTAAAACTTATAAATTATAATTGAGCCTCGATCAATCAGAAACATTCAAACGTCACGATAAATTGAACCACTTCGTGTAAGTACTTTTCTGTACACTCCACCTTGTAATGTCACGTTTATCCACCTTTCTTTTTTTTTTTTTTTTTTTTTAGGAAACGTACCGTCAATCGCCACGCCGCCGATTACGCTCATTTCACCCGAAACTAATTAAGAGTGAGAACACTTCGAAAGGGAGATTACCGGATAGATGAGGCGAATTTTCCTTCCCATTCCCACTTCAATTTTCCACCACCATTACCGGTACATTATTTGAAAAGGGTTAATCAACCCCCTTTTGTCAACTTCGATCCCCCTCCCCCTCGCCCCCTATCTTCTTTTCAATCTTTTTTTTTTTCTCGCGCCTCGAATCGAATTGATCCTCTCCCCCTCCCGCTAAATACACGAACGAACGTCCCCTATTATCCGTCTTTCTCCTCCCCCTCCACCTCCTCCTTCCCTCGAATACTAGTGAACAGCGAATCGCAAGTGAATTGTAAATAATCTGGATAGCAATGCGTGTATCCGGTGTTGATCATTTTTATCGAGATATTGGCCTATTGAATGGGGGCGACAACAATGCGAGTGACAACGAGAAATCGGGTTGAAAAAATCAAAAGGAAAACTAGATTTCTGCCGATCCACGGGAATCAGAATTTTTGTTATATATTTTAAACTGAAAATATTTCATTTCCAATCTTAATTTCGGGGAAAAACTTGAGGAATTTTTGGAGAAGCTTCGTTGTTATTATTATTAGGAAGTTTGGAATCTTATTGCTCTTATTCTCGGTCTGTTTATTAATAGGCTGATAATTTATTGTATGAAAAATATGTATAACATCTTTCATTTCAGGCTATTTTGAATCGAAGAAGTGTGTAAATATGCAAATTAAAATTGCAAAGGAGCTCGAGGAAGGGGGAGTGGGCACGATGAAATAAAAATTAAATGAAAAAAATTGAAAATGAAAATACATCGGAGAGGAAGAAAATCATCAATTTTGAAAGGTGTTTTAATCAATTATAGAGTTTGGACTTACCTCGCCGTGGACGAAGAATGCAGGGGTTGATATCGCGAATATCATCGCCCAAGCGATGCAAATGGCGACGATCGCGTGGTTCTCGGTCCTCCACGACATCGAGGAAATAGGATGAACCACGGCCAAGTATCTGTAACAATTTGTAATCCAACAATCTTATTCAAAAACTGAAAAATTTTTTTATCCCCACTGATTAAAAAACTTCTATATATATTTCTATATATATAAATATCCGTTCGAACAGTATCGAGAAGAATAAAAATTATTGGAAAATTCCACGCGATGATACTGCGAAGCGAATTATTTCGAAAAAGTTTCGAAAAATGCTGAAGCAATATCGATGGAATCGGAAATCCGATCACGTATAAATCCGCATAACTCAAAAAAAGGGTAACGTAAACTTGGAGGAAATAGAAAATCGCGTATTTCGTGAGAAAATCAAGATCCTTTCGCACGTGTGACATTTCGAGAAACGAGCATTGTTAGTGCATCGTTGCATACGATATCTCGAGACATAACTGATATTTATAGTTGAATGGATTATATCTGAGAAATATCGACAACCGTGTTTTATCGTGCAATATTATTATCGATTTCTTTTTCTTTTTTATATATATATATAAAAAATATATTTAATTATTAATAATTAATATATTATTAATATATTAAATATATTTTTTTTTATATAATATAAAACAAAGATTGTTCGAACAAATGCAAAATTTGTGAATGCATCGCGAAATAATTAAAGAAATTAAGCAATATCAAATATTCTTCAAAATACGTGTCTTTGTGTTGGAGCGATCAAATTGATTGGTGGATAATTAAAATTCGAATATTTGACGTTCTACAGATTACGATATTTAAAGGATAAAATTCGAATAATGGACGTCCATCTACATCTAAAGGATAAAACCAAAATTCTGATAATCGATATTCCATTGTTACGATATTACAATATTTATAATATTGAAATCGAAATATTCTACGATGCAATAATCCAAGGATGAAGCGTATCTCCATAATTCTAATTTATCAAATCGACAAACGATCCTAGCTTTTGCTTCGAAAGAAAAAAAAACGATTTATCATTTGACTCACCTATCAAGGCTCATGAGGACTAAAGTATAAACACTGGCGTAGGCAGTGACGATGATGAGGTACTGGACCATCTTGCACCAAAAATTGCCGAAAGGCCAGAACGGTAGCACGAAATCCGTGGCGGTGAACGGTATGCAAAGGATGACGAACAAGAGATCTGCCACGGCCAGATTGATGATCAAGATGTTCGTGGTCGATCTCATGGTCGGGTTAGCCGCCACCACGATCACCACCAACGAATTCCCAACCAGTCCCAATATACCTATCATGCCGAAAAATATTGGAACGACCACAACCACTATCTTCTCCACTTGGTCGCGATCGAAGCTGTAATCGAACTCCTCGTTGTACCTCAGTGTTTCGTTGTTATTCATCGAGTTCGAGACGTTGGTCAGATTTTTGATCACCCTCTCCGAAGTGATCTCCATCTCTTGAAGCATCGTGTGATCGCACTAACTTGTAACACCTTCCCTTTGCCTTGGAACGAGCAAAGTTTTCTTCCTCACGCTGCTTCTTCGCCCATCGATTCCACCCTCATCCGAATCATATCAAATTTTCAACAAAGTCACCAGTTTCTCATTTTCAATTTTCGCTCTCGTTCTCGACAGGAAGCTCGCGAGCATTTTCGACGCTCGTTCACGGTGCGAATTGTGGCACAGCGGTTGGGAAGATCGTTTCAGACATCGTGTTCCTCGATATTCATCCTCGAATATTTCGTGGAAAAATTATTCTCGATTATTCTTATTGTTGCACGATGCTCGATGGCTCGTGGGATATCGATACGATTGTTGAAATTTTTCTTCCCTTCGTTCTCGAGAAAGTAGGGATGACGAGGGTTCAGGCACGTCTGAAAAAAAAAGAAACATATTTTGATGAAATACAAATATTTTTGATCTAATAAAGATGAAGTATTGGATCTGTGTATAAGTTAAAATAATACAATTCGTATTGTTGGTTATATTTTTTTTTTTTTTTTAGTATCGATTCTAATCTGCTTGTTAACAACTGTTAATTCCACTCTTTCCTATCTAGGAGAATATTCCAATTATAAAGGATTAAATTGAAATCTGGTAAGTAACAATTCCTATTATAAAGCAGAAATGTTTAGTAATTGAAGCGATTAAATTGGTAGCTTAAATCAGAACTATGGAGCTTAAATTACATTAAGATATTCTATCTCAAATTCTATCTCAAATTGAAACGATGAATCACATTTGTTATTAACAAATTCTTATCATTCTTCATCTTACTTTATTTTCATTATCTTGCTTGAACTTTTGCTATTTTGAGTATAATACGAATGAAATATCAAATAATTTTTTACATTGTGTATCATAATATAAAGATCTTTTGTTTCTGAATGAAATGATTCTTGATCTTCACATTGTATATATTGCTTTTTATTTATTTACATGTGATAAATCCATGTTAAATTAATTTTGCCATTTTTAATTCTTTTACCAATCATTATATTATGCACATTTTATTCCATATTTTTTCCAAATTTATCTTCCCTATACAGGGATTCATATCTCACCAATTCTGATAATAACTCTCCACGTGTTCTTTTCGTTCCTTTCCCATTCTAAAAATAAAATACACTGCTATTATATTTCATATTCCTCCCAAATTTTTCATAAATTCTGTTATGAAGCACAGATCCTTTTTCCATTGATTCTTCTTCATTCTTTCCTTGCTTTTTTCAATCTTCAACCGTGACAAAAGTCAATAAATCACTGAGCGGAGATCAAAATGAAAAAAGCAAAAAAAAAAAATAAAAAATAAAAATAAAAATTGACACGTTTTGACTCGTGTTTGACTGGTAGCCAATGCCTTATCGAAATTCAGGTCACGTTGAAAACACGTGCGGTATCCTCTTTTTTCTTCGTTGAAAAAAAGAGAGAGAAAGAGAGAGAGAGAGAGAAAGACAGAGGAGAACGTTCTATTTATCCTCCTTTTTCTTACTTTAGAGAAATATAAATAATATAAACTCGATATGTAGAAGTGGTTGTTCAAAATATTATTATAGGCTAAATTTGAGAGGTTAAGTGCTCTAAAGTGGTTGGAAATTTATGACGAGAGTTATTCACTTTACACAACAACCAATTATGTGTAATATCGAAATGCTCTTAGATAAGAGATGAAATGTTATCTCTTAAAAGAGATCTAAAAGATTAAAGAAAATAAGATAAATGTCATTGTGTGGATAATGAAGAGATATCAAGATATTTTTTTTTTTAATTTATGTGAAGGATATTAACATTATTATCCTTTCAGATTCCAATAATTATTAAAAAATTATTAAAAGAAATTGAACGTAATATAATATTTTATGTGAATTGAAATTTTTGTATTGTAATAATTTTGAGTTTGGATAATATTGGAAAAAGTATGAGAAACTTTTATATTCTAATTCTTATTTAAGATATATGTCTCATTTTTATTCTGATAAGAATACATGTGTATGAAAAATGTTTTAAGAAATGCCATTGTTCTTTCGAATATTATTCAACATCTAATTTTTAATTTTTAATCTTTTTGACAATAATTTGTGAATTAATAATAGTGAATTGATAAGATATATGAATTATGATAATTTTACATAAAAAGAATCAAAGGTTTGTAAATTTCTTTTCTTTTATTATTAAACATGCTTATTGTTACAACAGAATTTATCAAAACTTACTATCTTTTATTTTAAATAATTTTAGATAATTTTGTCAATTTTAAACTTTGCCAAAGGAAGAAACGATCTTTTATTCTGACGTTAAAAAAAATTACGATTAACGGATACTTCCTTTTCAATGGACGAAGATTCGATTCATCTCTCAAAATCTATAAATTTTTCCAACACGTTACGATTAACACAAACCCATAAATGAAAAAATTGCAAAACTCTTTACTATTTCCTCCACTCTCTATCACTTCGAAGATTCTTTTTTCATCATTCAACAATTCCTTCTAACTTTTCCAAAAGAAAAATCCCAATTTCAATTTCTACGTCAACAAACTCAAGTCCAATTTGATCCACTTTCGATCCACTTTTCAAAAAAAAAAAAAAAATTATCATTTCTACTTCGAAGGATGATCGAGGATCATCCTTCCCGATCGTGGATCGTATCCAATTTATCGAGTCGAACCGCGATCAATATCATATTCAATAAAGCCGCAACGAGAATTCGTTTCATTTGCGACAAAATTTTCAGAAATTTCAGTCCAATTGGAATTTAATAAAGATTCGATACGAGATGAAATAATCGTCAACCGCCGACAGACAAAAGTTTTCCAAAGGAGATCGGGTCGACGGAACACGTGGATGTTCCTCTCCTGGTATACAACGTTGTATAACAGCCTCCCCTCTCCCCTTCCCCCTGCCTATTTTCAAAATTTACCAACATTTTCGTTTAATTACCTCTGCCACCTCTCGAACCACCACCAGATACGGAGAGAGAGAGAGAGAGAGAGAGAGATGGGGAGAGATTTAATGATCGTCCGCCCTTCCTTTTACCGGATTAAGGCGTAACTGATGCAGATAGATCGAATCATGATTGCTCGTCGAACGGCTCCTAATTGATGCAACTCTGGTTTCGCAGATGTGTTGCTGATGAACGTCGCCGGCCAACCTTTGTGACCGGTGTCATGGCGAACCGATTATTACACTGTTCCATCTCACAAATGGACCAACGGATCTCTCAACCCACTCACAACACTCGATTCTTCACGCACGACGAAAAAAAAATATATATATATGTATGTATTTTAGGGAGAATAATTTAGATGAAGAGATCGTGACGTACGCGTTTAATTTTCGTCACGTGTATTTAACGTGCGCGAGATTTAATGATATTTTTAGAACTTCGATATTTAATATTTGATTTTTAAAAGATTTTAAATGAAAGTGTAGTGGGATCGGTAATAAATTTCGATCGATAATTTTCTTTTTTTTCCGTTAATAAAGAGGTTGGATTTAATGAGCACGTTAAACACGGGAATATCAAGCAAGTCGCATTGAATCTCGCACTTTTCTAGGTCACGGTTCCGTGATCGTTCTTGCGTTACAAACGATGGATATGGAAATTAAAAAGAAACATCACGTCGTAATGTTTCCGATAATTATTTCGATATTTCTCGTAGAAAATTATTCACACCCCCTTGCACCAATCTATTCCTTATTTCACTCGCGATCTTGGGAAATAATAGTTTCTTTTTTTTTTTTTTTTTTTTTTCAATTGGAGAACATTTCACACAAGAAAGATATCCACACGGCGGGGTAAATAGCGTTTAACGCACTGGTGGCTCGTGATGGATTTGGCACATAAACAAAATAGTTGGGAACAACTTTCAGAAAGTTAGTTGTTCGGGTTCCGGGGTGTTCAGCTTCCGCTTGAATTTCGTGAAAATCATGTTGTTCCCCGATTTTTCGAAAGCGGGTCACTTGTGTGAAATATTGTTCGAAGTTAAAATTTGCCGAGTGATTTCTTGAAGAAGAAAAGTAAAGAAGAAAGAAAGAAAAAAAAAAGGAAAAGAAAAGAAAGATCGATGAAACAATGCAACACGGCACACGTGTTTAACTTAATACCGAAGCGAAAAAAAAATGTATATGTATATACTTCTTCTTTTTTTTTTTTTTTTTGATTGGAAAAAAATTTTTAAAAGCACTTCACATCCTGGAAAATTATTTATCAGTTTTTATTTTTCATTCGCACGATAACAGCTTTCACCGTTACTTTTTATTTCGTTCTTCCCTCTTTCAATTTTATTTATCACGATTAACGAGAAAATTATTACGGTAAAAAATTCTTCTATCGTGTAAATGTATTTTTATTTAAAATAAAATTAAAATTCAAAGAACTTTTCTATAGGAGGAAGCGTAACTATTAAAGTATTTTGAAGATTCGCGAGGTACGCAACCAGCGGTGGATGCGACACGACTGTGCAGATCGCAGAAACAGAGACGAAGAAATATCGGCGACGAGTTTACCTGAAATAGGGATGCAAGACTATCCTCGTGGAAAGGGTGCAAGAGGCATCTACCACCCTTCGTAGTTCGCTCCACGAACTTATTGATCCGTTCTCCTCGGCCGCTAACATCGAGTCACGATTGTACCTTCATACAGTAAATTTCTTTCACAGTAAATTACCAACTAGTAATATTGGAGAACGAAGAAATTATAGGTTTAGTAAAAGTTTGGATTTAATATCGATTAATTTAATTGTACCTTCGTGAAACAATTTTTTCATATTAATTTATCAACTAGTAATAATGGAGAACAAAGTAATAGTAGATTGGTAAAGTTCGAATTGAATATCGATTAAATTGGTATTTAAATTATGGTACCATAAGTAATTTATCAACTAGTAATGTTGGAGAATAAAGTATAAATTGTGTAATAGATTTAATGATTGATGTTAAAGTAATTTTATTAAATTTGATAAGTAAAAAATTATTGGAAAAATTTATTGATTATACTTTGTATTTTAATTTTACAATTCTAATAATAATATTTTAAGTTTAGTTTTATAATTCTATAATTTTAAGTCATACGAAATAATTAGATTTAAATAAAATTTGGAAATTTATTTATAATAAAATCTATTATCTGTTTTATACTTAAATGCTTATTTATATTACGATTATCGATGATATAATTGATATATGATCTAAAAACTTTTTATTGTTTATAATAAATAAGTATTACACTGTAAATTAAAACATATGAAATAAGCAAAATTTTTAAATATATTTCATAATCACTTAAATTAAGTTTAGAAATTATATTAATTTTCCAAGATAAATTATTTTATAATTGTTAATTATGATATAATTTAAAAATTTCAGCATTATCAAATCGAGAAATATTAAAAAATTTAAAAATTATATATCTACTGATCCTCCTATTGAATTCTGTACCAGAATTTCGTGCTACTTTCATAGAAGCAGTAGCAGTTTCATAGCAACGATCGATCAGTTGTTAAACATGACTAAAATAGTTTAGTTAATTAGACAAGTTGTCCTCATGCTACGTGTCATGAACACCTATTGCATGATAATTAAACAAGATGTAAGTGGCTGTTTGTAAAAAAACATCTCTATTCAGAACAACAGACAGAAGTCTGTTTTTTTTTTTTCTTCAATTATGAAAAGGAAAGAAAGTATAGAAATAAACAATGATTCAAATAATATTACTGCAAGCTGCAAGAAAAATATATTTATTAAAAGAACAAAAACAAACAAAGTAAATTATAACTTTTATTCATGAATAAATTCATTAATAACATAACTTAAAATTAATGTCAATTGATATTCATAGTGAGCAGAGATTATTAGAAGAAAGCATAAATTAATTAATAATTATATTAAAAATTATTTCAAAAATCTGTAATACACTAATATCTGGTAACTTTATCTAGAATAGCCTGAGTCAAATATTTCCCAGCAAGATCTTTGGCTATATTGCCCAACTGATCTGTAAATTTAGGTTTCCTAGTAGTAGAAGGAGGAGAATAACCCCCTTGATATCCTTGCTGGTATCCCCCTGGATATCCTTGTTGATACCCTCCAGGATACCCCTGTTGATAACCTTGATTATACCCAGGATAATAGTTACCATATGGATTAGACTGTGAAGGATATCCACCGTACTGCGATGGATAATTGCTTCTGCCAGATTGACCAGGATATCCAGAGCTCTGACTCGGATAACCGCCACCTTGGCTAGGATATCCAGAGCTCTGACTCGGATAACTACCACCTTGGCTAGGATATCCAGAGCTCTGACTTGGATAACTGCTACCCTGGCTGGGATATCCTGTACTACTTCTACCAGCTTGGCTGGGATAAGCAGCATTCACAGAGTTTGCATCCACCCTCTTCACACTTTCCTCATCGACGGAGGTCGATGGATATCCCCTTGAACCTGATGAAGGATACGAGCCACTAGGATAACTACCACGAGATGGATAACCGGATCCTGATGGATAACCGGAAGAGCTTCTCGAAGGATATCCAGACTCTGATGGATAACCGGAAGAGCTTCTCGAAGGATATCCAGACTCTGATGGGTAACCGGAAGAGCTTCTTGACGGATATCCAGCCTCAGAAGGATAGCCAGAGCTTCTCGACGGGTAACCGGAACTTCCCGATTCTGAAGGATATCCGGACGATCTGGATGGATAACCAGAACTGGATGGATAACCGGATGAGCCGCTGGAGGGATAACCAGAGTTCGATGGATAACCGGAACTGGATGGGTAACCGGATGATTTGACCGAGGAGTCAGCTTTCGGTCGAGTTTCGGAGGATGGATATCCACTTCCGGATGGGTATCGAGAATCCGTGGTCTTAATCGATTGCGTGTCATCCGATGTGGAATCCACTTCACTGCCGGTCTCTCGTTTTCTCAGTATGCTGTTGCTGTTTCCATCGAATTCTGCGAACAATTCGTCATCTGCCTCCTAATTGTTTAGAAATATCGATTTCCGGCTCACGTTCCATGCCATGCCTAATGTCCAATTGTTCCTGTGTTGCTCAATCAAGCTGACGCTGTATTATTATTGCCCAATTATACTGTTCCAATTAGTATGTTATTAAGCTAATAGACATAATAATGTAAATATATTTTGTAACATTATAATGGCCGGCATTTGTTCGCGCGAGGTTTACTATTAGGTTTATTTCTATTGCTTTGTTCGTTTGTGTTATGTGTAGTACCGAAGCTAAGCTATGCATTCAAATCATGCAATTTCATTGTGTTTTTATTTCCATTTGTTAAAAGTTTATGTTAAAGTATTACAGATGTGCTGTACGTGTAATAAATGATGTATGCGTGGCAATTTTTGTGATTTCGTGTTTATTGTTAAGTTTTATTCGTTGTAATTCTTGTGGTGGAACTATATTTGTTTGGAATTAACCGAAATTAAGGAAAATCGAAAAAAATTGTATTATATCTTTTAATATATTTGTTCGTTACATAGAAAAATATTTCGTATATTATTTGGTGAATTTAAAATAGAAAATTTCCAAATTTTGTTCCATTGATCATCTATCTTTATCACCTGATATGTTCTTAGATTGTGAATTGTAATTTTGTAATAAAAAAGATAAAATAAGGAAAATTGTAAAGGAGAAAAATATTATATCGAGGGAAAACGATAAAATGATACAATGGAATTGTAATTTACAAAATATAACTCTATATAGCTTGCTGAAATAGATAAGAAGTGTCAGAGTTCAATATCATAATAAAATCAGTATTTCCTATATCTTTTGTCTAATATTTTCCATCTCATAAACATATCACTAAATATAGGCAACAATATTTAAGTCTGAATTTCAAGTTGTTTAAGAATAAATGTGCAGACTATGCAGATTGTCCAGAATTCTTATTTCAATCACTGCCTCTCATCAACTCAAGTATTATCATTCATATAGTTAGAATCCACTGTTTCAACACTTTCTTTATTACGATAGAATCAGATGGGTAGGATTCATCAGAATCTGATGAAGAAAAGGATAATCACTTCAAAACGATAAACACTGATCCAAAAACATAGATATGTTCTGAACTTCTAATGATAACTTTCTGATAATGATTCAGAATTTTTTTCCAAATGAGTATTGAAGATCCTTGGTTTCAGGAGATTTAATATTTTTAAACTCTTCGTTTTCTTCAGTAAATTGTTATCTCCATCAAATTCTGCGAACAATTCGTTGATCTATCTTATAATTATTCAGAAATATTCGTTCTTAATCTCATGCCAAGTCCAATTCAATTGTTATCGCTTCCCTGTTGCTCAATCAAATTAACATAGTCCATAATTATAATGTATATATTGCCAATATATATTGGACAATTATTTTCTTCTAATTAAGCTGCATTTTTATTAAACTTGCAACATTAATAAATTTTGTAATGGTATGAAGGTCAATATTATTTCTGTGATAAGATTATTTTTGTTGTTTTGTTAATAGCATTGAAGTTATGTAATCATATTATTTCATGTGTATTCATTTTTGTTTGTTAAAAGTGATGTTAAAATATATGTTTATAATTATATGATACAATAAATGATTCATATAAATGTATGATACTTTTCTAAACACATGGATAATCTTTTATCCATTATTAAAATTATGTATCTAATGTTATAGTTTATTTTAATCCAAAGTAATTCCTCTGATGTTATTTTATTATTTAATTAATAATTAACATTTGTGGAGGAAATATCTATTGAAATTGGGAAAATCCAAGAAAATGCTGAAGAATTGCATATATTATATTTTTTAATACATTTGTTCATTATATAGAAAAATATTTAAACTGTTCATTAAGTACTATGAGTTTAATACATCTATATGTTAATAGTATTATATAAATGTATCTCATAATTGTATCATAGCACTATAAAGAACCACAGTTATCCATAAAACAATGAAATATTTATCAAGTTTCATGATAAATATAACAAGTATAAAAACAAATCATGAAATATCATTAAATGGAAGATTGACCTAATTTACACACGCTTTTCTTAACACACATGCTTTACAATAACTGCAGTTTCTATTTTTAAAAAAAATTAATTCTGGTTCCAAAATTAGAGTTATATATAAAATAATAAGTAAATTATAAATCGAAAGGCTGATAACAAAAACCATCTTCGTCAATCTTTGTCCCTCTAATTTCTATTCAATGGAAAGATTTAATTTTGCGATTAATCCCACAAAAATAAATAAATAAAATAAATAAATTGACTCTTGAAAAATTAAAGACAAATGATATTCACCAAAAATTCATAATTCAGAAATTTATGAAAAGTAAAAATTGATGAGATATGACTTCAATTCAACCACATTCTAAAAGAACTATAAATTTATTCAAAATTGTTGACCATTGCAATTTGACAAAGATCATTTGTGTCATCAACTAACTTAACCAACAAATGAATTTAACCAAAAAATTTCCAAACTCTGTTCCCCTGATCATCTACAGAGGTGTGGGTCTTGTAATAACCATTGCCACCTGGATACACACTGCTCTTAGGCGTGGTCACACCATTAGACCCATAAATACGATCATTGCCAAACAAACGATTAAAAATAGAACCGTTTCCAATAGTATTCCTTGATCCTGAGTTACCGCTCACTTTTCCTCCATATCCATTGGAAGAAGACCTGGGTGGAGGTGTGGGTGGAGTTGGTCTAATCTTTCCTGGTCTTCGTGTTGGGTTTGCTGTCAAATTGGAGAGTGGTAGTCAAAAGCTACACCAAACTCGAAATTCAACTATCATTCAACTTTGAATAAACTACTCGAATTAAGAATTGTTGAAACGTATAAATTATTTTGGATTAAATTATTCTGTGGATTAAAATATTCTTATTTTTATTGAAAGTAAGATGTTTATTGTTAGTTTATATTATTATTACAAGCTGGTGTTAAGATAAAGTTATCTTAAATTTGCTTTTTATAAGCATGCAATTTCTGTAATTGTTAATTATTTTATATTATTATATTTTTTTGTACTTTGAACTTCCACTCTTCAATTTGTGAATTAAACCTATTGCAAAAGATTATTTATTCATCTTTTAAAATGTTAATAAATCTTCTTTTCACTCTCACTATTAAACTACTGAAATAATTGATTTGTCAATTGAAAGTTTAATTAATGAAAACATTATTGAAATATGTAAATTATTTTCAAAGGCTGGTTGGCTTCTAGAGTTCCCATTATATAAGATAAAAGCAAAATTACGTTAAAGCAAAATATAAGAGGAAAGGTAAAAGAAATCTTGAAATTAGCTAATAATTATAATTTTGTTTAAAGAAATAAATCACGAAAGAGAAGAAGAAGAAGAAGAAAAAAGAAGAGAAATAGTGATGGAAAGAAACTGCCATAATAAAATGGAAATAACTATTAACCAGTTAAGAAACTGTGACCTACAAAGTGTAATTCTACGTCGCTCGCTCAAGTAGATAAGAGGTGTCAGGGTTCGAAACGATAACGAGATCAGTCGGTGTTTGCCACGTCTTCGAGAAATTAATTCTAAAACGTTATTTGCAGGCGGCTGTAGCTTAACGTAACGAGGGCGGAAGAGGCAGGGTATTATACAGTAAATCTATGGATAGAAATGATATTATTTTTTTTTTTTTTTTTGTTTATTCCGAGTCAAGATCCCTAATAAATAGCATCGATCGTTTCGTATCCACGATACTTCGAAACGATAATCGTACATCATATAAATATACATCCATATAGCTAGAATAGATATATGGTACATGGGCATATAGATAACATTTTATTCACGCTAAAGAATAATTGTCATTATTGTGTTTGGACGGCGAAAATATTTTTACTCGCAACGAAAAATGTGTCATCGCGATACTTAATTGTGCACTCGCTTGAAAATGGATGATAAAACATGCACGTATTATTTTTTTTATTTCATTTTTTTTTTTTTTTTCCTTGAAAGAAACGTATAAAGTAACGATCTTTCTTATCGATTCAGGTACCCAAGTTAATCAATTCATCGCAATTAGTGCGCTTGAGGAGGCTCGATAGTTTTTGATGATCCTTTGTTGCGTATAATTGAAAAGCTTTCTGGAAAGTGGTCGGTGAAATTATATTTTTCATACATTATTCATGGCGTTGCGTATTCTAATAAGAAGAATTAAGAAGAAAAATTATAAGTCTTTGTTCCAGGAAGCTGTCCAATTTCTTATTTTCAATTCTTATTGTTAGAAGCGTAAAATATTTTGTCGTGCAGTAAAAATTATGATGAAATAATATACGTCATCGAATATCGAGTAAAGATAACATCAAATGGAAGAACTTTTATCTCGAAGCACGATTTTAAATGCTGGTCAAATGCATAATCAGCATCCAACATATTTTAAAAAAATCTTACTTTCTATGGAAAAAAATTCTTTTTTTTTTTTTTTTTTTGTATTTCCCCTCTGTTAATCATAAATACAAAAGAACCATCACTGCGATGAAAGACACGTTGGAAGGCACGGTATAATGCATTATACAAAGTGTGTGATAATTATAATCTTAAAGAATAGATGGAATCTTTATGAAAGCAGAAAGAAAAATACTGAGTATTAGAAAAATAACATTTGTCCAGAATATCTCTTACACTGACTTTAAAATAAAAATATATATATATATATCTATTTCTATCAATAATAAAATAGTAATAAAATATATTAGAAAAATTTGTATATCGATCAAGAAGACATTTCTCCACATTTAAAAATTATTCCCCCTTAACACGTTTAATCAAAGAGACTAACAATTAACTAATTACAAAAATACAGATTAGACGAATAATTTAAAAAAAAAAAAATTAAAGAAAAAATCCTCAAAAATTACCATACACATAATATACACAATTAATAATTTTCGCATAATCGATACGCTAAAATTTTCAAATTATCTACGAATCATCAGACGATGGAAAAGATTGTCCGACCTCGATCCATTACCGTATCATCCATCCATTTCGTCGATCACGATCTGTTCGCGAATGCAATAACTAAACTCGCCAAATAAACGATCGCGAAACACGGCGAGTGCATAACGGCGGAATTCCTTCGATAACCGGAATAAACGTTGTTGTGGTACATGCGATTCTGATTTGGATAATTCGGATAAGGATAATTCGGATAAGGATTCTGGTGGCCGGGCAACTGTTGCGGATATCCCGGATAACCGGGCTGTTGTCCAGGATAAACGGGATAATTGGAGTGGCCGGGTTGGCCGGGATACGAGGGATAATTCGACTGTCCAGGCATCGGCATTTTGTTGTGCGTTGGATACGGCGGGTATCCTAAATCCTGTTGGCGATTCCCTTGATTGGAGGAAGGATAAGGCGGATATCCGTTGTTGGAACCGGTGTTGGAACCACCGGGATACGATGGATACCCACTCTTGGAGGAACCCGTGTCGGAGCTAGGATAAGGTGGATAACCCAAATTGGTGGCGGAATTCAGTTGATGGTGATACCCTCCCGCTGGTTCAGCAGGTGGCGCATTAGCATTGGCGTAAGGGTTCGAATTGCTAGCGCTGTTGTTGGCCGTTGTCTTATCGAGGTGCTTCTCGTCGGTGTTCACTCGCTGCCCGTTTACGTAAGAAACGCCCGCCGACTCGAATCCTGAAAAGATCGTCCTCTTCTACGTCGTATTTTATCTGTGGCAGTGTTTCCCAACTGGAGGACACTGGGTGTACACCTCGATAAGGGGAAAGGAGTAGAGGAAAGAAACGTACGGAAATCATGTTGCCATTCGTCGCCTGATGAGCGGCATAGTTGAGAATATGAGAGCAGTGTTTCTCAATTCTTCGACGCGTAATTTTATCATATTTTGATTAAATAAAGGATCCAAGGATGCATTTTAAATTAATTTCTATATATATATTGTATATAATCGTTAATAAGATAAGTTGTAAGTTATATTCTTTCGGAAATAAGCATATTTTTTTTCGCGGAATTTAAAATGTGAAAATTCGATTAAACTTCATCGAAGTTAGATTAAAATTTGAACCGCTCTATAACTTCGAGGATAGAGATTCTCGAGAGTCGATGGATGAAAGAGAAAAAACGCTCTTTCATTTATCCTGACATGACTTCCGGTTTTCGAAATATCGTCGAATTAACTATTTAAATATTTAATTAGATTTAAATTCTAAAAATTTGAATCATTATAACTCCAAAAGTGATTTTTGATCAATAAATGAATGATAGAAACTTGAAATCTTGTTCTTTAAAATTCTACAAAGTTTGTAATAATTAATTTTCAAAATTGTACCATTTGAAATCTAATAGAGACTTTTTGCCTTTTTTTTTTCTTATTTAATTGAATATAATAGTAATCTAATAACTAACTCGATCGATTGCTATTCACTTAAAAAGAGCATCAAAATCTTCGAGGCGTTGAGATGGAACATGATTCGAAAAAGGTTGGGAAACACTGATATACAAAGATGTAATCCTTCGAGTACGTCGAAGAATTTTTAAACGAAAAAAGGGGTTTAGAAAAAAGAAAGATATAAACGAACATGATTAATGAGAAACATGAGAGCAGTTTTATTTAACAAAAAAAAAAAAAAAAAAAAAAAAAAA